CAGGGATATTTATTAGAAGCCAACAGGAGGAGACTAATACAGGTCAAACACATGATGGTGCTGGTAGACAAGTGTGCAGTCACAATCACGACAACGCACAGTTTGCAGTGGGATTTGAAAACTAGGCGACCAAACAAAATGTCTAAGTTCATTCAGAGACCAACAAGGGGATGCAAACAGTAGCAAAAGGGCAAAGTGTTTTGTGTATAAAAAAACAGTGCTTACTCTTAGTTTGCCTAAAAAGGGAGAACTGCAGACAGAATTGTCAGCAAATATTGACTATCTCGTTCATCAAAATACTTTTGCTCTCAATTTTCAGTGTCCTTCGTTCTGGTTCTGTTGCATTAGGAGTAAAGCAGTCTGTCCATTTTTTTTTCCGGTGTGAGGAATGTGACCCCTGAAACTCCCTCTTCCTTCTTTGGTAACATTGCTGCTCTGCTACATCAAAAGAGACCTAAATCGCTAAATCAGTTTTGACCACATGACCCAGAAAAATATTTGTGTGTTTAGCCGAAAGGGGATGAACTTCACACAGCAGTGAATGAAAGTATTTTATTTAATTTATCAGCTGAAAATAAGACATGTAGTAATTACTGCGTTGAGCCTAAATTGTTTTTTCCCGTTGTTTTTCTGTTTTAGGACAATCTTCCCTGTTGGACATTAGTTATATTGTAATTACACATTAATTACATGAAAAATACTAAAGGAGGATCTGCAAGTGGCTGGACTTTACTGTGCTCTTACATTAGAATTAACAAGACTGAAAAAAAAATGTATTCTAAATATAATGCCCTATTTTTAACATAAAAGCAAACCACTGACTCTCAGCACTCACTCAGTCTGCTTGGCTCTTTAAATCAAGGCATTTAGTCCCATCTGCTAAACATAACAGGCAGGCTGGGTTGTTAAGACTGCCAAAGCTTAAGGTGTTGGAACAAAGCTGTGGCTGCCTCCTTTACTTTAAGGCTGGCGCTAGAAATGTGTAATCTCTCTTTGAAAAGGCCACATGTCCGACAGCATTTATCACACAGAGAAAGCTCAGGTCTCAGCTCTTCACAGAAAGGCTCGCAACCTTGGAAAACTTGGGTCGTGGGTCAGCTCGGGCACTGTTTGTGCTGTAGGCAAAAATAAAAATGTTTGCTGTAGATCGCGTCACATGTTTTCTCAGATCAGCCTGAAAAAGCTGCACACTATCAGTAAGTCTGCTTAGAAGGAAAGCCACAGCCAATTTTTAATTCCTTAAAGCTGCTCTAATTTTTTATTTTATTGTAACACAGAGTGATAGAGATGTGAAATTATCACATGACTGCCAGTTTACCTTCTCAACTACAGCCCTAAGACAAGTTCTACAAAATATGTTTAACTACTGTTTCGACCTACAGGTGTTCAGTACGTGGACAAACAAACCTCTGATGCTGACTCACTGCCCAGACAGCAGTAACTGCTGTTTGGTCTAAATGTGGCCCACATCTGCAGTTTTCTATGGGCCACTGAGAGAGATGACTCACTTTGACTCAGACAGAAGTTCCACCTTAAACGAGCCAGATGGAAGGTGTATTGCAAATTTTAGGCCACGCATAAAATAACAGAACATTTTCTAACACTGTAACTGAGGATAAGAACAAAAATCAATAGAGATTAATTCAAATGTGAAAGAAAGAAAATTAGAAAAAGGAAAAGATTTCTAAAAACAAGAAGCTGATTTCAGGTCCTTCAGATCCATACATGCATATGTCTGGCATTTTATTCAAACTGTGCCTCTTACACACTGAATATCACTGAGCTGCACTGCACACTGCAAAGAGTTAAGAGTATGGTAGTAGATCCATGCTGCTGATTCCAATTCAGTATTGATGTCCTGTCACCCCCGGGGACTACTTCTAGTGAGAACAGACCCGAGTCAGCACTTAGTGAGCACTAGCCACTGATGAGAAACACTCACATGCAGTAATTATTTTGTTTATTCCTCAACAGCACTCTTTTTAGTCAAAATAAGGACAAAACTGTTAAAAATCTGAGTTTCCAAGTGCGTGCAAAAATTATCTGGCCACATCTCTGTCATCTGACATCGGCTGCTCGTTTTCCTGCACTGAAGACAAAACAGCCGTTTCTGTGCGGGGTGACACATCATGCAGTCATCCGTGCTGAGCAGCTTTATTTTTTGGGTAACAGTATGCTGAATGCATATATTTGCACATTTTTGCTCACTAGCTTCTCAGCAGATGGCATAAATATGTGCATATATTTTGCTTGTGATTATTTGCCCCCCCCTCCCCTGCGCTTCCTTTAAGGTGTGTTCCTGAACAAGCTGTATGTCATGGGGCTGACAGCAGAGCTGGGAGTCTGACCTCCAAACATCATTGGTCAGCAAACTGGGGAGGGGGAGATATGCTGCAGTGTCTTTTTTTTTCTGCAGAGGGAACATGCTACAACATTGCTTCTACCGCCTGCACATCTCCTTGTATGTGCATTAGCCGTTCCCTTCTTCCCCATTCCTCTCTGCAAAAAATCTCTTCATTCCAGTTTTCCACTTCACCTATTGTGAGAATTTATCCCATCGCTGCTAAAAATGTCAGGCTAACAAAGACTTAAAGTAACACTGCTTGTCTTTTTTAAGTCCACACATGTCCACCAAACAATGGCAGTATGCTGCTATAAGACTGCAACTCCCTATAACTACGCACACAATCATATTCTGGAAGTAAATAAATGGATGCATGTCCAAAGCACAGGTGTCACTCAGTCAGTGTGTAGTGAGGGTTTGGACACGCTGATGATGAAGATTTATTTGCGAGTTAAAGCTGTTGACATAATTACATAGCACAGGTTAACAACCGCTACAGCGAAGAGCCAAGAGGGCAAACTCACCTTTTGTGTTAGGGCATTCCAACACTCCGGAGACTCAATCTATAAATGAGGGAGAGGAGATTAACCCAAGCCGCACACATACTCCCACTGATGGAGCTGTTGCCTCCCACCAATTATCCCTTTTGCATGAGTGCATTCAATCACACGCGTACGCACAACACGCACCGGCCGCAATCTGGCAACAGTAAGTGAAATAAGTACAGTAATGCCTGTCACTGTCCACAGGTAAGTAGGGGTGCTTCTCCTTAATCCCTCATTCCAGCGCCAAGTTGTTCCTCTTGGTCAGAATCAGATGGTTACCTGATGGTTACTTTTCTTCTCTTCGCGAGCTGATCAAGGTGCATCTCATGAGTTAGTTGGTGTTATGGCAGAGGCTCCTGTTCTCATCACAGCCCTTTCCACTCCATGCGCCTTTGATCTCACTTCATTTCATTGCCCTGATTCCTGCCCCCCCCCGCTGAATCATTTCAATCTATTCTTCCTGCTTTTATTTATTGCATTACTAGCTTGACCTCCACCAGCACCACCACAGTGCTGACCATGCCAGCTGTCTTCAGTTTTTACAGGTCTTCAGCAATCCAGGAGTTGGCACAACGCCCTGTAAGCTGCCTCAGCTTAAGTGGTGGGGTAAACCAATCAGTGGCCTCAGGTCTGTTCCAGGAAGTACTTGCTCTGCAGCCCAATAATCTGAGGGGGGGATGAAGGAGAAAAGGGAGGTGAGAGAATGGTGTGTTTACATATCTTCGGGTCTGACTACAGAGAGAAGAAGGCTTTTCTTTTTCCAAACTGAAGCAATGTAATGTTTCCTCCTTTTCATGCAACACAGCTGTCCTCATCCATAGCACTAATCCAGTTAATAGACAGAGTAAACATGCTGTGTTAAAATGTTGCTGCAGGGTCAGTGACCTTCCTTCATCCATCTCTGCATAATTAATCGATTAGCAGTGTGCAGGAGAGATGGAAAATGAAAAAGACAGGAAAAACGCTGACACGGTCTGTGGAGTTTAAGAGATTTAAGATGTTAATCGCACGTTGCTATCTCCGCATTTAAAAGATAGTACTTATGTATGCAGTTCTATGATACTATAAATCCAGAAAGTGCACAGCTGCAGCTCTCTGAGGCTAAATGTTAACACGCTCACAGTGAAAATTCTTAAGATTGGTCCATTTTTTTCCTTTTTTTCAGACCACAGTTAAAAAACTAAATGATGGCTGAAAATACAGGAAAAAATATTTTTAAAGTTCAGTGAAAACGATTTCAGTAGCACTTCATTGCAGGTTTGGACTACGGCAGTGTTGTATGGCAAAAGATGGGACATGCAACCCCCGCAGTATGATAATTGATGTTAAGATAATGAAAATGCTTTGGCTCAACTGGCACTTGTATCTTTATGCTTCCATAAAAAAAATAAAGGTTTTTATCTCAAGTGAAATTCAGTTTAAAGAATAATTGTCAGTCTAACATTATTGCTTTTAATTTAATTTTTTTTATGTAACTTACACCAGCTGTAAGTAATTCCTGATTTTCTATCACTGCTGACCTTTTAAAGGCCTGCCAGGGTGATTACCTTCAGATTTATAGGTATTTGGACTGCCTATGTAATGCACTTAGCTGCAGCCTACAGCTGCAATGATAGTGACTTATACTTTAAAATGAAATTACCTGCACTGTACATCTCTGGTGGAAGTCATACATCTTTAACTCCCTGCATTAAATAATTAATTTGAACTAAAATAAATATAATCAGTGTCATCGGTTGCAAGAGTCAGGAGTGAAATAACATTGATGTTTCATTTATGTCCATAGTGTAGATATGATTGCCTTCTGAACTGTGGTGTTCTGGGTCCCTACCAAAAGGCCTTCTTATTATTCTATTTTCTAATAGAATAATAAGAAGAAAAGTTTATGTGGGGTCAGATAATATATTCAATTAAAGCACCCTGCAAAACAGAAACAAATCCATAGATTTTTAGCACATTATCCAGTATGTGTAATGCAATCTCCAACACAAAGATGCATACAAACTGTATAATACGGGCTCATTGACATTTGTTGTGTCATTCTGTTGAAAGACCTGTCACTATAAATATGTGCTGTACCCTGAAAGAGGACTCATAGCGCCCACCAACAAACAGCACAGCATTACTTAAGCTCATGGTTTAATAGCAGCGTTTTACTGCCCTCCAGTGGTTACTAACACCAAGTTCAGATTCACAACAACAAGATTTCACTTCTCTGTCGTTCTGAATAAGGACATATCAGGTCATGTAATGAGATGTCAGTTTGTACGCTGCAGTGTTCCTGCAGGCCTCGGAACAATCAGGGAGAACTTGATACTCTGTGAATAAATGTAATAAAATTAAAGCAGAGAGAGAGAAACTGTAAAGTGTGCTTTCTGTACATTTGTTCAGGGTGTACTCTTAAATATAACTTAACAAAAACACAGTCTTAAATGACTGTGTTTATGCCTCTAAATAACAAAGGTTGACCAAAGTGCTGTACTTAGTAAAAAAGTAAAAAGCAGAACAAACACACACAAAGAATCACACAAAAGCCCAGTCACAATTAAGTGATGATGGGTTTTTAAAAATGTCAAGTGTTGGAGAGATCCTAATATGAAGAGGCAGACTGTTCCAAAGTTGGGGCACAGCAATCGCAAAGGCCCTAGCTTGTTTCTAGGGACAACTACAAGCAACTTATTAGCTGACCTGAGAGTAGGTCTGAGAGGTATGATGGAGCTAACCCGTCATAGCTAATTTAGAGACTTAAAAACAAGCAAGAAAATCTTAAAATCGATTCTACAACGTACTGGAAGCCAGTATAAACGAGCCAAGACTGGACAGATATATTCATGTTTACGAGTGCCTGTCAAGGGTCGGGCAGCTGCATTCTGAACTAGCTGAAGATGAGAGAGCAGAGCCTGGCTGATACCAAAATAAAGAATATTACATGTATGAATGACCATGAGGGAAAAGCCATGTAGGAAAAGCTTTAAAACATAGTTGAAAGTTCAAAATTAAGTTTTTCCAAAGTTATGCAGTGGGTTGGATTGGACTCTTAGCAGAGCTTATTCTGGCACCCCTTGTGTTTGTGACCCCAAATCGAAACCTCATCATGGTAAGGGAAACCATATCCCACAGGTGTGTGGTTCACTTGCTATAACAAGTGCTTAGCTATAAGATCCTACTCCTCTTAAAAGAGAAGCAGCAGGTTTTTTTTGGATAGTGAAAACCTCGTATTTATTCTGGTCCTGTCACTATAATAAGTGTGCGTTTTAGAGTACCACATATAAACTTTGAGCTACCTAAATGACATCTGACTAGTTTCATATCCTAAAAAAAACGAACTAACTAAATAAATATAAAGTAACAAATTTTTTGTTTTAATAACTTATAACATAATAAATATAATTAACTATTAATTTAAAGGATGCCTAAAAGAAAAAAAGAAATAACAGCTGTCTGTTGTTACCTGCACATATTTACGACACTTTTCCTACACAGCAGTGTATTTGCTCAGGCGCATCTCAGTCGCTGTTTAACTCACCGCGGATGTTAAACATGTTTAAAGAAACGGTTCCCGGTTTAATATATGAAACCACCGACAAATGTTTCAGAAGGCACGAACATAATAGACGACCGGCTGACTCAATCTGTTTACACCACGCCTTCCTGAATCCTGTCTACGGTCTACACGCAAGTCCAAAAAGTTTGTTCGGAAACTAGACGTCAAATCACCCGACGTGTCTCTGGAGTGTAGGATATGATGCATATAAATTTTATGCAAACTTAATATCTCAATATCTGTGGCTATCCGCCTGCGTGAAATGGTTAGCTCTCCAGTGGATACCCACCACCGAAGAAGAAGCGAAACCACAGTTTCATTTCCTCATAAGCGCCGCTGTGGCTGTGTGCGTTCAGCGATAGAAGCCGTGCAGCTGCAGGGGGAATCTTCTGTCTGGACTCTGACTGTCGAAGGTATTGTGCAGTGTTCACATCTGGTAAGAAATCTGTATGGACTGCATTCAAAATATTAGTGTGCTTGTAAGGTCAGCGTGGGAGCGCTGTAGTCACCCTGTAATTACGAGGGCGATATTTTTGAAAGCTTTCAAAGTTACAGAACTGCGCAAAGGGCTGGATCCACCGCTCATCTCTTTATATTTTGATAGGAAATACGAAAAGGTTGCCGCGACTTATTGAAACATGAAAAGGTAAAAACAACGAGCTCGACAGTGAATATTTGGTATGATCATCGTTGCTTTAAACATAGCCCGAGCTCTCTTAGGCAGCTTTCTTCTAATATCTTTAGGTAGTCCTCAGGAAAAGTTCTCCAGGCTTCTTGGAGGACATTCAGAGCTCTTCTTTGGATGTTGGCTGCCTTTTGTTCTGTTCTCTGTCGAGATGATCCCACCCTGTTTCAGTAATATTGAGGTCTGGGCTCAGTGGAGGTCAATCCATGACTCGTGATCTTTTATTGTTTATTTTTCCATTCAGGTTTATCCAGCCTGTACTGCAGGCTAAGTCTAGCAAACTACTGCCCAAGAATGTTTGGCTCCTTGGAAGTAAACTACTTGTATAAAGAAGTGAGGGATGGTCCAAGACTTTTGCACAACAGTGTTTACTAGTTCTACAGTGTAGTGTCACAATTGAAATCGTTGGTACATTGTTTTTGTAATTTTCCCAGTATACCAAATATTATATTTTTATATAAACAAATTGTGTAGAGTTATAATTGTTATTAATATAGAGGAAAGTAAAAAAAAAAATAAGTAAGAAAAACATGTCTCAGTTCCACCCAGCTCCACAGAGGGCTTCTCAGCCTTTTCTTTAGTCTTACCATCCCAGCAACAAATTTGAATGCAAATCCACCCTTCTCTCTTCTTTAAAGGTCTTTGAAATGATGTGCGCCCATCGTGCCCGTCTCCTGTCATGGATCCTCGTCACGTGTTGTGTTTTGACGGGACCGTACCGTTGCGATGCCTCTGAGAAGAAGACCTCCTGCTATGTGGAAGACGGCCGAGCTGACTGCAGTCGCCTCCGCCTCAGTGCAATCCCTTCAGACCTTCCCAGGAACATCACCAGCCTGGATGTGTCCCACAACATACTGAGAGGGATTGCCCCGCTGTCACTAAGCCTGTACCCAGGCCTCCTGCACCTCGACGCCGGTTACAACAGCATCACCAAGGTGGACGCGGGTTTGTGCCAAACACTGCCTCTGCTGCAGATGTTGAACCTGGAACACAATCAGGTGCATTTGCTGAAGACTGGAGATATGAGCCACTGCACCCGACTGACATCATTGAACTTGGCTAGTAATAGACTAAAGCTGCAGGGAGAACCCTTCTCGTCACTGCAGGTACTGATGTGTCGGATCACTTAGATGGCTAATTATTGTTTGACTCAATTATATTTCAAGGCCAAAAACTGTACGTTTGCTCCTCATTATTAATATGACAGCTCTGTTTCAGTTAGTTTTCTTTTTATCATACAAATCATCAGTGATCAGTGTTTTGGGGATTTAGGTTAGGTTAGGTCATGGATTTAGGTTATACAGCCTGCTGCCCAAAGCTTGCTGCCATTTGTTTGATATCTACAGATGTGTTGGTATCCAAACAAATTAAATTTGGGGTAAAGAGTGTGTGTGTGTGTGTGTGTGTGAGGAAATGTGGAGCTTCCTACTTCCTCTGAGATAGATATTGAAATTTTGCCACATATAGCTTCAAAAATCAAGTCCCACAAATGTAAACGGAACAGGTTTGTGTATTAATTTCAGTTCGATTTTCCGAACTTCCTATGATTAGCAGGAAGTGAAAGTTCCTGCGTTTGTTTGTTTTTTCCAGTCTTATTTGATGGCCTCCTTAAATACACATATCAACTTTTTCTAAACTAACTGTTACAGCAGTTGTTAGCTGTTGTTTCATCACGGATTCTGCCTTCCAATCATCTTTTCAGCTGGGATGCATCTGTTGCTCAGCGCATTTCTTCCAAGCCACATATTTCATATGCGTGACTCACCCCCACCCCAACAAAGTCTGACAGTCTTTTTCCGCTTGCTTCAGCCAGTCTTCATTGTAGCCGTATTTCCTTTTTTTTAATGGTTGTTTCCATTAAATTACAAAATCTGCACCAATTATATCTTTGTGGTGACTTGTAGTTCTCTCAGTTTTGCATGCATCTGCAACAAAAGACACGGACATTGTAACCTGCACTTGATGTTTCCTGGTTTCTTCACAGCCACTAGATAAAAAAAGCCAGACATTTTGAGCAAAAAAGCATCCGCCCTGCAGTGTTAACTTTGGAAAACTAGAGCCAGTGAAAAATGTGGGACGCTTTCTTTATGATTGGAACGATGGTGGTGTTGGGGGGGGACCCTTTGGAGTTCCTCTGCCATTCTTTAATTTGTACTTAATGGAAATAAAGGCAAGTAAGAACAGTTAAAACCTAATAACTATGGACTGTCCTGCAAAAGTAATACACATGAGTAACGTAAATTCCACCTACCACCAAAAATAAAATAAAATAAAACAATAATAAAAAAAAAAACAAAGAGCCGAGGAATTTAATATGAAATGGATGGATGGTGCATATGTGAGCTGTCTTTGTAGAGAGATGGAGCAAACTATCCTGTGACCTGAGAGAAGTGCTGCTTATGAAATTTTGTCTGACATATGCTGTGGATCAATTGTTTGCCTCTTGTGCACAGCATTAAATAACCCTTCTTCTTGTCTCCCTCTTCTTTAATAATCCACAGAACCTAACCTTTCTAGATGTTTCTAAAAACAAACTGCAGTCACCCAAGCTCGGCTCCCAGCCTCAGCTGCCCAGCCTGGTGAACTTCAGCCTGGCATTCAATGACTTCACCACTCTGAAGAAAGATGACTTTTCATTTCTTGACCATTCATTCTCTCTGCAAGTCCTCAACCTGTCATCTGTGTTTTTAAAAACAGTAAGAAACTTGTTTAATCCAGAAATGGGAAATGAAATTCCATCAAAATCGGAACTGGCAGTAGAAAGTAGAGTTACTGTAGCACATTCCTTTCGGTTGTCTGTTTTGTTTCCTTTTTCCGTCTCACTAAAAAAATCTCTGTGATTGTTTGTTTGCAGTTGGAGCCCGGCTGCTTTCAGCACATTTCAGGCCTGCGCACTTTAATCATGGATGGGGGCAACTTGGGAACTCTGATGGTTTCCAAACTGTGCTCAGAGTTGTCTGGGACAGCCATCGATGCTCTCTCTCTTCGGAAAATGAGTCTGGTCACGGTCACAAACAAAGTCTTTACAGGACTGCAGAAGACAAATCTAACCTTCTTGGATCTGTCCAGTAATGGCATGGGTAAAATTGAAGATGGCTCATTTCAGTGGCTATCTAAACTTCAAACTCTAAATTTGTCGCACAATAACATTAAGCACCTAACCAATGGGACATTTCAGGGGCTCAATAGATTGAAAAAACTGGCACTTACAGAAGCACTGGTGAAAGGTCGTACCGCTTCCCCAGTTATTGATGATTTTGCTTTCCAGCCATTAGGCATGCTAGAGAGTTTGATGTTACAGAGGACTGCAATCCGGGAAATCGGAGAGCACACCTTTGCAGGCTTAAAAAGTCTTAAAAAACTTGACATAAGCTGGATTAGCTGTCCGTCACTCCGAAACATCACCAACAAGACCTTAGCATCTCTTGCAGATTCACCAGTCAGATGGCTAAATCTTATAAATACAAATATAGCGCAGATCAATCCCGGAAGCTTCTTTGTTTTGCGAAACCTCACCGTTCTTCTTCTAGATTACAACCATATCAAGCAAACTTTGACAGGCAGAGAATTCGAAGGCCTAGATCAGGTTCAGGAAATTCACATGAGCAATAACTTCCAGTCAATTGACCTAAGCTCCAGTTCCTTTATTAATGTGCCCAACCTTAGAGTCCTGACTTTGGGGAGAAGTCTTAAAGCTTTAGCCCTAAACCTAGATCACTCTCCATTCAAACCCCTGACCAACCTCTCTGTCTTGGATCTCAGCAACAACAATGTTGCTAACATCAAAGACAATCTGCTAGAGGGGCTTGTAAACCTAAAGGTGTTGAAACTCCAGCACAACAACTTGGCCCGACTGTGGAAGAGTGCCAACCTTGGTGGGCCGGTGTTGTTTCTCAAAGATGCGCAGAGGTTGGAATCCTTACAGATGGATTATAATGGACTGGATGAGATCCCACTGAAGGCTTTGAAAGGTTTGACTCACCTCAAGGAGCTAAGCCTTATCAACAATCTCATAAATAATCTCAAGGACTCTGTTTTCGATGACCTGAAGTCGCTGCAGGTATTACGTTTTGAGAAGAACTTGATCACAAGCGTGAGACCTGAAGTGTTTCGTACTCCCATGAGCAACCTCACCCAGCTTATCATGGGCAGAAATCCATTCGACTGCACATGCGAGAGCATCCTGTGGTTCGTGACGTGGTTGAATACCACAAATACGACGAGTGTGCCAAATGTCAGGGACGAGTATGTGTGCAACACTCCACGAGCTTACTTTAACCACTCCATCATGGATTTCGACCCCCTTTCTTGCAAAGACATGACCCCATTTCAGACTCTTTACATAGTGAGCAGCACAGCCGTCATCTTGCTAATTGTAACCGCACTCACGGTGCGGTTTCATGACTGGAGGATCCACTTTTACTGGAACATAATGATCAATCGCACATTAGGATTCAGTGATGCCAAAGTTGACGAAGGCAGAGAATATGAGTACGACGCTTATGTCATACGTACGGAGGAAGACTCCAGTTGGGTGGAGAGGAGGTTGGTCCCTTTAGAGAATGAAAAGTGCCAGTTTTGTTTAGAGGATCGAGATTCAGTCGCTGGCATGTCACAGGTGGAATCCATTGTGACAAATATGAAAAAGTCCAGAAAAATCATGTTTGTCGTCACCGAAAGTCTCCTCAAAGATCCCTGGTGTAGACGGTAAATAAAACATACACTAGATTATGCTTTATTGTGACTTTATGTATCAGGTGAAAGCTAAGTACAAGAAAAAAAATGGTGATGTGCAAGGCAGTTTTATCAAATTCTCCTTCCTTTGATTAAAAATCAGTACACTTACACCTTTCATAGTGTTTTTAAAGCAATAGTAGTTCATTTCAAGCAATATGTAGAACTTGTCCCTATTCACCTGTAGATTTAAGCTCTCCGAATTGCTTGTTTTTTACATGTTCACACACTAACTCTATAATTTTGAGATCAAACAGTCATTTATTTATTGCAAAAGTTGCAAAATTGTCTTAGTCGGATAATATTGCTTAATAGCACAATGTCTTCTCTTTCTTGTCACCAGATTTAAAGTCTATCATGCACTTCAACAAGTCATCGAAGAAAGCAGGGACTCAGTCATCCTGGTCTTTCTTCAGGATGTGCACGACCACAAATTGTTTCACTCACTCTTCCTCCGCAGAGGAATGTTACGTTCACGTTGCATTCTGGACTGGCCTGTCCATAAGGAAAGGATACCAGCATTTCACCAGAAGCTTCTCATTGCGCTCGGCTTGACTAATCGGCTGAAGGACTGACTTGTTTATCCTTGATAATCATGACAGATTGCATTCTTGATTCTTTCCACAATAAAAATAGGATTTGAAGACCTCAAGTCTATTCTTAATGATGAGTTTCACAACTCAGTGTATATCAGTAATGATGTATACAGCGAGAGACCGCATTCACTTAATTTTAATGTACACTCAGTGATTTTATTCTACAAGCAGCTTAAAATATGACAGAAATCATTCTGTTTGGAAAAGAGCCTCAGGGGTTAATGGGTAAAAGAATTAACATAAACTAGTGTTTGTATGTTACTTCCAATTTCTGATTGTGTTGCCTTTTGTATAAACATTGCCTGTTTGGCACCCGGGCGAACACTCCCTCTGCCCCACACACATATGAAGAGAGAGGAAGTATGCATTGTATGCAAACGGCTACCAAACAGCCATCATAATTCGTCATACAATGAGAACAGGACAAATCAACAATTGACAATGGCTAATTAATATTAAAATCTGTAACATAATGTATTGTTTGGAGTTTAGTCTGTTACTGTTACTATTTTTACCATTTCTTTTTGGAGCAACTGTAATCCACGTTATTTCCTTAGGGATTAATAAAGTATTCTGATTCTGCTTGTTTCAGGATGACCTGCCAATGACACATCTGCTTACCTGCATCTTTTGCTCGTTTTTCCTCCTCTTCTTTTCTATTTTTTCTAAACTGAGCACCTGATGGCTTTGAACTTTTCTTGTCCATCTTACATTGTTTTTTTTTTCTTTTTCATTTTTTCTTTTATTAGTTATTCTTATTCTAAGTTATTGTAATCAGGCCAGACTGGACAAGAAGAAAAGTTCAGAAGAAAGTTAACAGAAGGAGAGGGAAAGAAAAGGGAGAAAAGAGATGGAGAGAAAAGACAATGAAAATTTGCTTCATCACCTTTTTTTCCCTCTCTTTTCCTGGATCACCTGTTGAGAAAAAAAGCAAACAAGCAGAAGAAGACTAGAGCAATAGAATAAACAACATCATGATGATCTATGGGAATATAACAGTAAATACTAAATATTAAACATTATTGTGCAGCAAGTAAGATCGACAGCGCACAGTGTGCTCTAAGGTAAAAAGGGTGTAGTTTGTGTGTGTGATCACCCGTGTGTACACCTGTGAGCATGAACGACGCTTGTTTTTAAAAGGTTCCTTCATGTAATGATCTCTAGAGGGTGTGGGGGGGGGGGGGGGGGGGGGGGGGGGCCACAGCCCCGTCCTCCAGGGCATGAAGCAGGTATGGAGGAGATCAAAACTCCAGACATCCAGAGGCCCCCAGAACACAAGAGACCAAGGAAGACCAACAGAGGGGCAGCCGCGCCACTGTCCCAGAAAGAGCTGAGGAGAAGTCCCAGATGAGGGCTCACTCAGCAGCCGCGGAGCAGAAGCCAGGGGGGTTGCAGTGACTGCCCGTGGAGCTCCACCGGCAGCCAGCTGCGCCAGAGTGACCGAGCCCCAGGCCGAGGGCACCCCACCCCCGAAGTGGCCCGAGCGAGCCCCAGGCTCCAGGCCCCGATAAGCAGCCACCAAGGAGTGAGCCGGTGTGTACCTGGACGCCCATCCCCGGACACAAAGAACCACCAACGCACCGATGTCTGAGGGCGTCTGCCACTGGCAGGGGAAGTGGTGGGGGAGATAGGCCTCCATACCTTGGAGGGCCTGAGATGTCCCCAGAGAGGTGGCGTCTGATACCCAACCTGACATATAGACACAGACATACAGGCACACACAGATACAAACATCCATTCCCACCCTCATGCTCTCATATGCAATTACTCAACACTCACCCAACGTGGAGACAGACATAAAGAGACGCTGTACACACAATCACACTCCCCAAGCGTACTCTAAGCCCCGGGTCTAGGTATCCTTGCCCCATCTTACATTGGTTTTGATTTTGCACTCCAGTATGAACACAAATCCCCCAACTCCAGGATCGCCACAACATAACCTAATAGACCTACACCTTAGTTCACAGATTCACTTTGTCTAGGGTTTATTTCTGAGATTTCACACAACCCTGGATTCAAATCATGAATACATAATGGGCTTGGATTTACATCATTATGAATGAAATGTGCTCTATCTGGAAGCAGCCGGCCCCCCTCCCCTTTTGAAGTGTTGTGTGTACTTTAAAAAATTTACATCAAACTGTAAATTATAAATTTTAAATTGTTATTGATCCCTTTACCCCAGTCCTAAAGTGTATATTCATTTTCTTACTCTTCTTATATTTATTGTTTGTTTACTTGCACTGCTGTAACTGGAGCCTCGTTGTCTCGTCTCTCTATATACTGGACTGTATGTAGCGGAGATGACAATAAAGTTTACTTTGACTTCAGCAGCAAGCAGGCGCACTGAGGGCTCTCGCGCTCACTTTTCACGTATAGAATTTCGAAAAAACATCGGCGCAAATTATAAGTCTGTATCATGATGTCTGGTGTTTTCGTGTTTGTTGGTTTGTTTTTATTTTGCGAGTTGGTTATTAGATGCCGCTCCAGCCACCAGTGAATCCGTCGCCGCCCCGCCCTCTCCTCCCTGTGCCGCAAGCAGCAGGCGCACCAAACGGAGGGCGCCCTTACTCCCAGCAAATGGGCGATAGAAAACCGATCGGTGCCTATGCCATTCCCAATGTGCGCTGGCTGATGTCGGGGCAGCATGAGTACGAGCATTTTTTTATTTTTATTTTTTTTTGCCGATGCCCGTGATGCCGCCCCGGGCAACCGCCCGTGTCGCCCGTATCAAAAACCGCTACTGATTGCACGAGACTGACTCCAAGAGTTGTATTTTTGCATAATAAATGCAATAAAACCGCATAAATATTTTAAATAAAAATATTAAACGTTTTATTAATAATATAAAAATCGTGGAATTCACAGATTTATTGCTTGCTCATTCGTAACATCCTCCTTTATTGTTGTTTCCAGTCTAGTCCTATTTTATATTGTATGCCAATGCAGAGGGTAATATGGAAAAAACAAACAAAAAAGAAGAAGTTGACATCTAACATCTAGTGGCTAAAGCTCAGTATTACATTTTGTACTAAGGAGTCAAAAGCAAGCTACGAAGTTGTTCTAATTTCCAGCCACTCAGGCAATGTTTTTAAGGTGCACTGTCTTTACCTGTTTTTTTGTTTTTTTACCAGCGGAAATGTTTTACCGTAAAAACTACCAAAATTATTTTTACCTTATTATCAGTCAATATTTAAATGGCATGCTTATTTTCCAACAAATACTTTTTCAAAACATTCTTAAGGCTGAACAAATTGTCTTAAGGTTGTTCGTTTCTAAAAGTGATTTTAAAAAAGCACAGACAGACATTTTTACAGTCCTTGTAGACTACAATGTCCTGAAATTACTGAAAACAAATCACATTCCTACAATGGTTCAGGCTTTCTTGGGAGGGTTTATCTAAGAATTCATCACTTAGACACGATATTATTAAAAGATTCAGAGAATTCTCTGCACGAGTCAAAGCCACTACTAGCAAAATCTCCAGTTTAAATCGACTGAGGAAAAGTTAAAAACTCTCCTGTCGTAAAACCTGTGATTTTCAAATCCTTTTTGGAAACCTCGGGCACCACCTTGTCAAAACAGAGACCTTCCTTCCTTGTTATCAGCTCACAGTTCAAAAGCCAGCATCAGGGAAGATGAATGCTTATTAATGTTGATGCATTAACATTAAGGAGACTGCAGACCAGATATTTTAAAGCAGGGCTCTCTAG